TCTGTCGGCTGCATTTAAATCCGCGTCTGAAGTTTCCCGCTCTGTTCAGCGTGCAGTATCACGTGTCTAAACAAATAGCACGTGCTGTCAGTGATTTCAACCACTAGAGGCCGCTCTCGCACTGTGTAACGACAGCAGACCCTTCTCAGCCGCTCCAGCAATGGACGCAACCCGGAAAACTATCGGCACGGATTTTTGTCGATAACCGATAGTTCCAGCATTCAACTATCGGTGCCGATTAATCGGCAAAACCGATACATCGGTCGACCTCTAAACTAAATAATCATCAGCAGACCTGTTCCCACCCAAAATTTCACTTAACAACAGTATAAGAATTTTTAGTGACATAATTTAGTTTTTCATGAGCATTTTCCACCCTTTTTTTGACCCTTGGCTTTAAACGGGCCATTTTTGCTGCTGTGCTTTTAAGATGTAAATGCGCCTTTGCATGTGAAATGAGTAACAGTTCTTTGCTGCGAGCTGTGAGCTCTGAGCTTGCTCTCGGGTCCAGTTTGTGCTGCCTATCTTTCAAAAACAGCCTTTTTGCACTGCCTGCATTACATTGTGACAGCTAAAAAAACAGTCCAAGCTGAAACATATCTCGTACTGTTAAGATCAGACTGAAATGATCAGGGTCCTTAAGAATAAACTGCAGCCACTCGTTTGTAATGAGCGTATCCTTAAGAATATACAGAGCGACAAGCGCTACACACAGATTCACCACAGTTTACTCTTGTTGCTAGTTCTTCTAGTGTTTAGGAGTATTTATCCAGCTCTCTCATTTTACTCAAACATGATGGAGTAGGTCAGGTTTCCAAAGATCACATAGGCGTTTTTGACATGTAAATTTGGCCAGTGATTGTGATCCAGTGATTTTGGAACAAGACATTTTGGCAGCAACAGTAAGAACAGAGTATAGCGTAATGTGATTACTGTTTAGACAGAGCAATTAGTAAAGAATTCCCATAAAAAAATAGAAAAAGTCATTAGCAATTAGTAATACTAATGACTTATTTTGAGTAATTTTCCCAACTCTTTGTAAATTTGTGAGGGGTACACAGGCCGTAGACTAATGTTAAAAGCTCAGGGTTGCTGAAAGACTGAAGCGACATTAACAAACTGAAGGACAGGAAGGTCAAAGACCACATGGCAATGGCACAAACTCTGTGCTCTTGAATCTTTCCCAAATAAGCCAGACACTAGCGCCATAGGAAACGGCTCACACGCTCCCCTGCCACATCACCAGACGGCTCCCGGCTCAAACCTACAACCTGCCTAACAACCATCTCCATTCAAACTCATGCGCAACCCCACTCCGAAGTCAGATTTCAGACTCCATCAATGTGTGCTATGAGGACGGAACCCTTCCAACAATATGCCTCATTCATATGCATGGGTACACAAATCCGGCCTTGAAAATCCCCGTAAAAAGAACATCCAGTGGTTTCAGAGAGGTTGTGCAGCACAATAATGAACTCCAGCTGAATAGAGAATCGTAGAACAGGCACTTTCATAAAAAAAGAGAAACTGCTCAGAAATGCAGTGGGATGATTTGTATTTAAAGCTAATAAAGCTTTTAAAATATTACATAATTTTTTTTTTTTTCTCAGGATTTTAATTCCCGCATAAACAATTTAAGAGTTCAGATGCAAATGCCTCTAAGTGCTGTCTGAAATTTTCTTCTAAAATTAGCATTTTTATCAGGCTCTTATATTTATGTTTATTTATTTCACTTTAATGGCATAGAAAATGACCTATACATTGTCATTAAAGTAAAATGACTGAACCTAAACAAAGGAGCCTGATAAAAATGCTAATTTTAGAAGAAAATTTCAGACGCAACTTAGAGGCTTTTGCATCTGAACTCTTCAATTGTACGGCATTATTACTGTATATATTTAATATTACAAAATGTATTAATGTATAATATGTATTTACAAAATAACATATTTAGTCAAATGGTAAAGTTTTAGGTCAGTTACATAAATTATGTTGTTTTTAGAGTAAATCAGTCTGGTTAAATATGGTTTCATGCTGTCACCCTCATCGAGATCCTTACTGAAATCCATTTCTGCCTAAAGAAACTGCAACATTTTATCTCACAATTGCAACTTCATTTCCCACAACTGACTTTAGATTCTATAAAAGGTTTTTATATTTCTCAGACTTTATATCTCACAATTGTGACATTTCTCATAATTACAATTTTTAGATTTTAAGCCGCCTTTACACTGCCTCTGACATTTGCATACGATTGTTGCATTTCACATGGAACTTTCAAATCAGTCATGAACTGTCACCCTCCTCTTATTTACCATGGTAAAATGAATGATTTGAATGAATGATTGAATATAATGCATGAATATATCCAGCAAAACAAATGACACCAATACATTTGAAAGAAAAACAGTAGGTTTTCTAGAGCTAATCCACATAAGTAATTCTTTAATATTTATAAAATAATTATTCATAACTGGCATTTTACAGAAAAAAAGTATTTAAAGAATATCACTTCAGTGGAAAAATACTGGTAATTCTGACCTCACGTTCACAGTTTCATATCGGATGGTTGTGTACAGTTTAGATGCAGAAGTTTAAATATTTCAGTGCATCCAAAACTCAAAACGAAGGTGAAATTTCTGCATACACATACGGTCGTATTATTCTCCATTGGAAATTAATAACTTCCAGTCTGCTGCTTATCGTTTGTTTTAGATGGAAGTGGAGTGGAAAGGCAATTTACTTTACAACTGTGTATTTATATCTTGCAAATGCAACTTTATATTTCACAATGTGACTTTATTCTTATTTAAATTTTATTTAATATTTAGATCATTTTTATTGAGGATTTCTAAAGATCCTCGCTGTTTTGTACCAGACAAATTCAACTGTAGTTGGCTGTATTCAGTGTAGCTGGCAATGTTTTTTTTTTGTTTGTTTTTTTTGTAGCTTGTAGTGTCGCAAACTACTTTTTCAAAAAAGCTAGCTTGACTATACAGGGCTCGCAAAATCGCTATCCCGACGTCCCGGGGCTATTGTGTTTTCCAGTCGGGCTACCAAAA